TCAACATTACGTAAATGTATACATTAACGGTAGTTATGTTATTTAATCTTAATAGAAATTTGTTTATTAGATTATAGCTATTTAGGCTGTATTGTAATATTTCTATAAGTTATAACTTTACACAACTTACAAAAAAATAAAAAAACAAAATTTATGCAGAAATTCTTGTTTTGAAGAAACAATTTAATAATTATTAAATTATATATATACACACACACAATTTTGTAATGTACTGTATTTAAGAAAATTGAAGAAATTTGCTGAATGAGATGTTTTGAATTGGTTAGCGGCGCGACTAATCGAATCCAGCCGAGTCGAGTCGGACGGTTCTAAATCGAATAACCGTCCGATTCCGTTGCAGTGGCCGATCACTGATCCGTTGGATTTAGGTCGTTTTTAGGGCAGGCTTGTTTGGTTTTCGTCCGTGTGGAGGAGCTACAAGGGTACTGCTGCCCCTCCCCTGCACCGAGCTCACTTTTCATCTATCTTCTTTCTCTGTCTCTTTCCGTCGTTCTCCAGACAAAACGCGTCATCCGACAACGAACGAACAGCGCCGCGCGCAGCCGCAATCCAGTCAAACATCAACAAAAACAAGGTCAAACGTACGTGTGCGCGTCACTTTCCCTTTTCACGTTCTATGGCTCGCGATTCTTTAATGACTTGTGCTGCTGTATTCCTTTTTACAATTTGGTGTCTTTTAAAGTCCATAAAATACGTTACGGCATTTATAATGAACAATTTCTCCTGATTGTATTTATAATTGGCTGACTTTTTAATAATTGTAATTATTTAAATATTACACAGCGTGGTCATTAAACTTAAATTCAACGTGTTTAATTTGAAAAACAAACAAATCAACATTACGTAAATGTATACATTAACGGTAGTTATGTTATTTAATCTTAATAGAAATTTGTTTATTAGATTATAGCTATTTAGGCTTATAGCTATTAGGCTCAGAAATTCTTGTTTTGAAGAAACAATTTAATAATTATTAAATTATATATATATAGATATATATACACACACACAATTTTGTAATGTACTGTATTTAAGAAAATTGAAATAATTTGCTGAATGAGATGTTTTGAATTGGTTATTTCCTCCTCTCTGATAGGATTGGTTCATATCTGAGCTAGTGAAAAAAATGATGAGTTTTCACTAAATGATGAAAATGTTGCCACAGTTTCAACAATGCCATCTGCTGATGCACAAAGGTTTATTTTGTCTGACACACAATAAGCCGTTAAATAACCTCATTCAACATGCAGCGTGTGAATTTCCTTTAACCTGTGCTCTTTATTGCTGCTGACCCTCTGTTCCACTGGAAGTTTCACCATGGTGGCGACCAGCAAGAGTCACTTACAACTCAGGTGGATCTTTTTTGCTGCTCCTGGACAAAATCTGTACATCATAAACATCAGTGACAGCCACACACTTTGAAAAGAAGAATAAGTTTAATCATATTTAAGTCTGAAACCATTTGAAAGACGACTAAACATTTGAAATCACATTTAAGAGCAATGGATCTCTGTGTCGTTAGGCCCTCCCATCTGCTCTACCTGTCCATCAGGTTCTCTAGCCATACATCAGGACATTTCCCCATTTACACTTAGAACAATAGATCTGCATTTGAGCGCTGACTCGCTTCAGGCAAAATGCTCTTTGTGATATAGCCAGGGGTGTGTTTGCTGTATTCTTTTAAACCTTTAGTAGTCTGTTCAGTCAAGACTGAGAGAAGCTGATACAAAAAAATAGATGAGGAAGAACCCTGTACACCATCTTACTTCTTTTGAATAATTAGTCCTTTACGGGATAGGACAGGAGAACCTCTTAAAATCTGGCAAGAACATGTGCGGGTCATATTGCATCTCAAAACCAAAAGAAAAAATTATAGATTTTTCATCAAGACAATTTTAGGACCATTCATTTTGTTGTTGGTCTTTCATTGTGACATTTTTTGATGGCATAAAAATAAATTTCTCTCTATTTTTGATGTTTTTTATATAATATGATTTATATGTATATTATTATGATGATTTCTTTTCACCTTAACAAACTGTACTTAATATATATATATATATATATATCTAAAATAGAGAGAAAATTATTTGAACAACTTAAAA